TAAAAGTTCAGAATTTCCACAGAGGGGTTTGTTTCTGGATGACAGACTTAGAGAAATATTTATGTGCTTTAACAGTTGTTGTCTGTCCATCTGCTAAAAATCCAAATGATGATAAACTGGTTGTCCTTTTGCTATAGTGACCAGTGCTCTGCTTTTTGATGTGAGAGAACAGTTACTGGTGGCCAGTTTTCTTTTCTTGACTTCATTATAATTTTTATTTCCTTTTTTGATCTTGAATCTTACAAAGAAGTTAAAAAGCACTTTTTTTGCAGTTCAGATGCTAAAGAGCCTGTTGTGTCACAGCAGATAGGAGAAACTTATATTAAAAGTCATTGTCTTGGCAAGTGAAGCTTTAGTACCTGTTAAGTTCAGAAGGCTCACTGCTGTGTGCATAATTAAAGCACATTAAGTTTCAGTTAGTGATTCAGTTATCAAGCATTATAATTTGTGGTCTTTTCTGAATGACATTTAGACAGCTCGTGGATGCTTTGAGAGTGTACAGTGTTCCTGCATAAGCAGCTGTAATAGTTAATTACAGTGATTGTTTAAAAAACTTGCACCTGGTTCTAGTTTCAGATTCTAATTATTAGGTCGATGGTTCTTGCTGGCAAAAATAGTCTAATCAGATTCTTTTAATAATGATGCTTGTTTTAAAGTAGCTGCTGCTGTAGTTTCATGGTACTTGAACATTTGTCTTGAGACTTTAGAATAAGCTGTTGGGGTGACTAGAAGGAAGCAGCAGCTTTCTGTTAGGTAAGGTTTTTGAAGATTTAGTCAAACTACTCTATTTTAAGAGGTTGTTTATGTTGCCTAGGAGTAGTGGGGGGGTGTAGCTGGGTGGGGAAACTGACACATTTTGGTATATGTGTTTATGCTGGGATTCTTTCCAGTCTTATATTTTTAGATTGATCCTTTCTGAGGTCTCTTTAACTCTTGAGTATTTGAATGTAGTGCTGTCTACATGCATTAAACTGTTGCTGACTCTCTTATGCTGGTTGGGGAGCTTGTTGGTGTTTGGGTGTGACTTGGGTGGGGAGTGTCAGCTGCTCACACATTTACAATCTTCCCATTCTCAATTTTATTCTGTATTTTCACTTAGTACTTCTTGCTTAAGAACTCAGAAGAAACATGTGGTATTGGTATTTAGGGGTGTGACTTCTTTCTTCCATTAGGGTCATATACTTGAATAAATTTGGTAAACTATGTCTTCAGCTGGAACACAGAATATGACATTTCTTGTAGCTCATGCTGTCCATTATTGGTAATTGCATAGCGAGTATCTGTATGCAGAAGAAGCTCTTGTACTATCTCCAGTAAACTCCCTCAAATACCTGTTGACCTTTCTCTTCATCTTACTGTTTTCTTATGTTTGTCTCAAAATGTCACTTTCTGGAAGACTTTGAGCTGATGATACAGTTAGCACTAGAATTTTTCATCTCTATTGAGTCTCTGTGTATTTTCTTTAAACACTTAAGTATTCTGCTGAGTGACTGAAGGAAAGTAGGCTGTCATTCAAACCTCCTTAATGACTCTAATTGGATTATAGTGCTGTAGAAATCAACAGCTTTTGTATGTTTATATAGTGGTTCCTGCAGTGTAAACAGACGTGAGTTCAAAGCTTGTTTTCCATTTTATGGCTGTTTCACGCAGTTTGAATCTAGAAATAGATGAAGTTGTTAGTGATGGAGCTTTTATTATTACTGTGGTATGCAGCACCTGGGACTGAAAATCTAAAGGAAAGGTAAAGGCACAATCTTCATGGCGCTTGAACTTGGTGCAAAATCATGAAGGTGCACAAAGCACATCACCAGTGATTCATTTTAGTGAGTCAAACTCACTATACCTGCTCAAACATCATTCATCTTTTTCACACAGGGGAATCGTATTTGGGGACATGCATGTTAACCATGGGTTCTACCAAAAGCATTTCTATTTATGAATAAAGCATCCTCTTCAAATTGGGTTAATGTGGATACACCTTGAACATCTTTTTATTAAGGTCTAAGATACATTGTTACCCTGTTTTTCTAAAAATTCAGGTTTTTCAGTGATGGTTGATCCTTTGCAAAAAGAATTTCACTATCTGTTAACAAAGTGTTAGTAGATCTAGTTGGAAGGTAAAGGCTGTCACTTGCCTCCAGAAGCTGAGTTTTGAAAATGAGAAATGTACCTCCAAAATACATTATACCCTCACTGAAGTATTTGGATTCTTAAATGTTCAGTAACACTTCCTATTTCTCATTCTCTGTAAGCCATCTCTTTGGCTCCTGTACAGCATGCTGTCTCTTGGTGAGAACATGACTGTGGGGAATGATGTCTCGTGGTGACCTCATTCTCTTTCTCTCTCGCTGTGTCTTACACAGAGGCCTCTGCTAGCCTTGGAAGAGCTTTCCAGACTACAGATCTGTGGTTTCACATCTTTCAGTTGATAGAAATTTTCAGCTGCTTTTGTTACTGAATTGAGCATGCTGCTGCCACAGTAGAATGTAACTTTTACAGGAACACAATAAAGTTATTTTCCCCCATAAATGGGTCATAGTAGAAGTAAAAGTTATCCTAAATGGTATTACTTTTATTTTCTCTCTTTAGAGTAGTCTTTTGCCACTTTGAAAGTTGGTTTTTTTGCTATACAGTTGAGGGAGAGAAGGACTTTTACTGTTCAACAGTGTTGATGAGCTTGGATTTGATAGTCAAAGTGAGGAGCTCAGTCCTTTTCTTATTGTTTGGGAGAAATATGGACGTGACGTGTCATATTGAGAAAAGTGTCTGAAGAACTTCAGTTTGAACGCCTTTCAGTCAGTGCATCTGTTAAAACATTGCATTGTATTCCTGGTACTGAAATACTGAAAGGTAATAATGCTACTATAATTTTTTTTTAATTGCAAACCTAATAGCACTTAAAAATGTAAGGGCTAATAAAACGCTCTTTGTGTAACAATGCATTTTGATGAAAGCATTTATGTTATAGTACCATGGTTTTCCTTCTGCATGCTATGCACATTGGCCTGTAAACTGGGTAGTTTATTTTCTGGATGACATCAAGTGATATCAGACTTCGTCAAACTGCGAATAAAATGTGTGCCTAAAAAAAAGTCTCTATTTGAGCTTTTGAGCCCAAGCTAAAGACTGGAGCAAAGAGGTGTATAAATTTTAACTTAAAAATATACCAGATGTTTATGAGATAGCAGTCAGGGCTACCGCACTGGGGGTTTGAACTGTGAATTTCTGGAACTAAAAGCTTGATTTATTGCACTTTGACTTCAAATCAGCTCTCCTTAGGCAGAGGACTGTAACAGTTGTAAACCTTGCACAAAATGGACCAGTCTGGTGGGATTGCTCTGATACAATAGTATCTCATAACTCTATGCAAGTTATTCATTATTAGCTTCATTCTTTGCCCTTTTTTGTAAAGGTGAAGCAGTGCACTATAATAGACATGACTTGATTTTGATCTGTGAGATTAATAAAAACAGTTCTATTATACTTGCGAAGCTCAGTAAGATCTGTCCATATCCCCAAATATTCCAACACAGCACCCCAGCGAGTTACTTAAAATTTGTTTGAATCTCTAGAAATGTTATCGGTTTATCATAGACTTTGTCAAATATTTTTAATAACCTTTGTAGGGAA